GTCGATAAAATTGTGCCCGTACTAAACGAATTTTCTGGCTCCGCCTCTGCGTGGCCCCATTTCTTGAAAATCATTTTTCCTTAAATTTATTTTCAATCATACACATTATGAGATTCAAAATTTTATCAATTTTTTCACCACACGTTTCACCAAATTTTATTAAAATTCTTGAAATTTTTTTATTCGTATCAAACGTGGGATTATTAGATGTTCCATGTGTGTGTGTGAGCTGCTTCATAATCATACCCAGTAAGGGTCCCCCAACTTTATTGTAATTATCGTGCGCTCTTCCCCATATTTAGGGCATGTCCGAGAGTCCTTTCTTCTAATTTTCAACAATTAATTGACCTTTTTTTAACTGCAGAATGGAGCCCACTTTGACAATAAAACCCGACATTGTAAAAATGAACTATCGAAGAAGCTCATATGTCATGCAAAATGAATTAAATATTAAGGGCAAAAACGTCATTCTATCATAAAATGGTCCAATATTGCGGCTACCATGTCAGTCCTCATTGGAAAATGGTGAAAAGCAATAGTCAAAATTTTACTTGGCAACAGTTGAGATTGCAATTTTAAGTACGACTAGACACGCACTTAGTTCATTTGGTTAAAGATAAAATTTTTAATAAATTTTAATAAAAATGATGAAATATGTAATTAAAAAAGTTGATAGCAATTGAATCTCATGAAATGAAATAAATTTTGACTTTCACATAAATTTATATCAACCTTTTTCGTGTAAACCAAACAAACGCGCATTTTATAGATTAGAGTCAACTCTAATTCCACTCACCCATAACTTCCCACTAATTATCGACAATCTTTAAAAAAATGCTTATTTTATAGATTAGAGTCTAACTCTAATTCCACTCACTCATACCTTCCCACTTATTATCTACAATCTTTACATACCTCGTGTTTAACTCTTATTTTCTAAAATTCATTTTTCCTCGAAATTATTCCCAGTCACATATTCTTTAAATAAAATAATTTTTATTGTAAATTGTAAGTTTAACTGTACTCATGTAACCCTATAAATTATTACCACCGTATCCCTGATCATTCCCTTTAAATATGGGATTTCAATTTTCATTATAATACACACAAGTATTTTTATCTGCTCTTTTTTTTTTCCTCTTTTCATAATATGTTATCAGTGCGAAAGTTTAATTCTTTATGTGTATCTAAATTTTCTTCCACACCTAACATATATAGTCATACGTGTAATCAATTTCTTGTATTTGCCGACGGTGTAATATATTTGTTTTTATCAGTTTGTGCACTCCATGTGTGCCTTAATTTGTGTTTGTAATCATTACGCTTACCACCTTAAATTTGTCACGAACGCGTTTTCTATGCCATTAACTTTTATTTTGACCACAATGTTGAGCTATATAACATTTTAAAATTATATGCCACGTGTATAGTCATACTTTTGTTCTAGAATTTCGTCTATTTATTTGAATTATATGACAACATTTTCAATTTTACGGTGTGTTTGAGCCACATAATTTTGGAAGAATATATTTCGAAATAGCAGATTGATGGATAATGTGTAATTAAAAGTGATGAAAAATATTATTTTATTGAAGAATGCGCGATTAAAAAAGGGCAGAAGAATGATAATGAAAATTTTGGAACTTGTTTGTCTCCCATTATTGGGAGAAAATTAGTGTAATGAATAATATTTTTCGGAGAATGTGTGGTTGAAAATTAAAATAATTTTATTGGTTTGTGTGTAGAATATTTTATTGGGTGAATGTGTGATGGAGAATCTTACTGTAGCAAACAATTTTTTGGATTAATGGTAAACAAACGGGGGGTTAATGTGATCAAGAATATCAGCACCCTGTTTTGTTTTTCTGGCCAAGAATCCAGTACCTGCAGCTTTTTTCTTAAAAATTTCAAATCTCGACGTCCCTCCATCCAATACTTTCCCGCCACATCATCAGTATGCCTGCGTGGCACATATATATACCAACTTATATAAATAGACAACACTCCCCTTGCATTTTCCCCATTCTCCCCTCAAGCGAAAGAACGAGAAATCTGCATTTAGAGTGAGTATATCTGTAGTGTAGAGATGGAAATTAGGGGTTTGAGTGCCATTTTGGTACTTTCTCTGGCTCTTACGGCCTTGTTTAGTGTATCAGTAGTAGCTGAGGAAGGCGAGAAAGTTTTGAGTTTGGATCATTCCAACTTCTCGGAAGTTGTGGGCAAGAACGACTTCATCGTCGTCGAATTTTACGCCCCATGGTATATATACTCATCTCATCTATATCTGTATATAGAATAAATACGTACATAGGTAATTTTATATGATTGCACTAAAAATCCATTCTCTGAAAATGAATTTGCTTTAACCTCAGATGGGTACAATATTTTTCTGACTGCGTTATTCAGAATTCTGTTAATTTTCTTAGGATTTCATTCTATAGTTTTCTTATGAAGAATTTGACGTCTTTATTTTTGTGGGATTGAAAGATATAATCATTTGATCTCATCAGTGTAGGAATTTGAGCATGACAAGTTTTGCAGTGTCTATTTTCTTAATTGTTTCCGTTCATTTACGGGTCTATTCAAATGAGACTTTTTGGTATTCAACGTAAACTTTTGAAAACTTTCTAAAGATATTTGTATATTCAATTGAGACTTTTATAAACTTTTAAAAATTCTGTAAAAGTCACGGTGTATTCAATTAAAACTTTTTAAAGTTTCCATAAGTCTTGTGATATTCAAATTTTAAGGACTTTTAGAGACTTTTATTTTAAGCAGAAAGTACTAAAATAAAATTTCAAAATTTGTCACAAAAATAAAATAAAATAAATATGTATTTTTTTTCCCAATATTTCTATATAATTTTCCCTTGTACGAGTTATGATTAAAATTTATATTTTGCTATTGATTATATTAGTTTCTATTTTTAATTAAATTATAAAATTTTATATATAATAATTTATAAATAAATTTAACTATATATTTTTTATTTATTCTTTAAAGGTATATTATATTAATAATACTAAATACTAATTTTTTTTACATGTATAATTATTATTTTTATTTATTTAATTAAGGCCTTAAATTTTTATTCTTTTTAAAATACTTTTTTTTATTACATGGGGAAGGAGAATGAGAATTGTGAGAACCACCATCTAGTACGTGATAATTTCATGTTATTGTATTTTATCCACATGAATTCTATTTCAAATGAAAGTTTTCAAAAGTCTTTTGAATTTTACGAAAGTCTATAAAAATTTTAAAATGAAAGTCTGTAGAATTCTACAAAAAACTTCCACTAACTCCATCAAAATCTACAAAAAAAACCCACATAAATCATCACTTAAAAAAAGTCCACCAAAGTTTTGAAAAGTCTAAATTGAATACACCCTCCTAAGTCGATATATCAATGTTAAGTTATTGAAATATTTGCAGATATTTTTTTTATCAAGTTACTGAGACTTTTTTTTTATTATTATTTTATTTTCTACATTTTATTTTCTAGAGATCATTTCTTTAACTTTCTTGCGGACATACAAAATTACTTTATACAATTTTTCTTTGAATTTGAACCAGGAATACAGATGCTGTGGCCTGTGAGTCTCTTCATTTATTTGATTGCTTGATGAATATATATTTTGTTTCTTATTTTTTTTAATAAAGTCTTTTTTGATGCCGACTGAAATCTAAATTTTGATTTAAATCAAAGTGAACAATTAGTTTTAATAACATATTTCATGGAATTCATAACTTTTCAACTTTTATCAAAATTTACTAAAAATTTGATTTTAATCCCCACCAAACATGAACAAAATCACAATAAATTTGAATTTTTTTTTCTTGCTCTCTTGCTCCCTCTCTTTCACTCCTTGTATCAAAATTTTAACCTTTCGAATTTTTTAATTTTTTTTTGTATAATTTCTCTACAAATTATCACATCTACTACGAATATTTACTTTCTAATCAAATTTTCAATTAATTAGAGTCTAAATTTGCATTTTTCCTATCAAATTGTGTAAATAGAATGTATCTAAACTAATTATATCCAATTTGACTTATATTTAATGAACTGTGTTTATTTGATTGATTACTAGTATTGAATATTGTTTATATATTTTTCTTTTTGATTAATTGAGTTAATTGTTTGTATAAAATACACTATAAATTTTTTAAACATAAATATGTATTTTATTGTGATGAGCAAAATATTAATAAAATAACCGTTCGAAATAAAATAGATGAAAATGATGAGCAAAATATTATTGAACAATATTTTTAAAATATAAATATGTATTTATTTAGGTCAAGTATGAATCGTTAAAATAATAAAAAATAAAGTATTCGATTTATATAGAATTTTATTATATTTCCCTAACTCAAAATGTGTGTGTGCCTATTTACTTTTATGTACCTTAGTTATTGCGCTCTTCATCTACATGCGAATACCTTTGAACCGAGCTTGGCTTATAGAGGTGGGGGTTCACAAACCCTCACAGATCACTCAGAAAGCGTGGGCTCGACAAATTTTTTATCCATTTTTTAATGAAATCGATCCCACATCAGACCTACCTCATGTAAGAGATGGTAGAAGTTCTGTAAACATTTGGCTTAACTCAATACCTTTTGTTAATGTCTACCATTGATCGAATCACACATTTACTCTGCTCGAATCTCCAACGCATCTTTGTTTGTTACTATTTTATGCTTGTATTAGTATTTGTTACTAAGGCTGTGTTTGAGTCACATTATTTTGGAAGAATATATTTTGGAATAGTAGATTGATGGATAATGTGTGGTTGAAAAAATGAAAAAGTTATTGATGTCATATAAAATATTATTTTATTGAAAAATGTGTGGTTGAAAATGAGTAGAAGAACGAGAGTCCCTCAAATCATTTCCGTTTGATTTTCGCTTGTCACAGGTGTGGGCACTGTACAGCACTTGCTCCAGAGGTAATCTTCTCCGCCATTACAAACCCTGAATATATTCTTTTAATGTTCGTATAATTTATCTAAATTGTCTTTTTTCCCTTTTCAAAATCTTTTAGTACGAGGAAGCTGCATTGGTGTTAAGCAGCCACGACCCCCCTATCGTTCTAGCAAAAGTTGATGCCTATGAAGAAGCGAACAGAGGACTAGCAACTGAATTTCAGATCCAGGGTTTCCCCACCATTAAGATCTTAAGAGAAGGTGGGAAGAACATTCAAGAATACAAAGGCCCTCGCGAGGCTGACGGTATAGTTGATTACTTGAAGAATCAAGTTGGTCCTCCATCCTCTGCAATTAAATCAAGGGAAGATGCTGAAAGTCTTATAGATGAGAAAAATATATTTGTTGTAAGTCATTGACATTTTTAAATATAATTTTGTTTATCGGTTAACCGTATGCAATTTGGAGATTATATGCATATACCTTATTCTAGGCTGGGGTGTTCCCAAAATTTGCTGGGGAGGAATTCGAGAATTTTACGGCTTTAGCTGAAAAGTTGCGATCTGACTATGATTTTGGCCACACTCTTGATGCCAAACTCCTTCCACGAGGCGAACCAGTGGAGAAGCCAACTCTTCGCTTGCTAAAGCCTTTCGATGAACTGTTTGTTGATTTCCAGGTATTGCAAGATTGTATTTTTCCCTCTCTTTTTCTCCAGCCTAGTGTTTTCTTTTGGACTCTCCCTTTTGGCTTTTCCCTTTACCTTTTTGGTTTGTCGTATCTTTACAGTGTCACTTCTTTGTTGTTGCAGGATTTTCAAGTTGCTGCAATGGAGAAATTTCTCAAAGAAGCTAGCATTCCCACTGTGACAATTTTTGATAACAACCCAATCAATCATCCATATGTTCACAAATTCTTTGACAATCCTAATGCTAAGGTACCCCGCTTCTTTGTATACTGTACTGGAGATCCGTATGCACTTGTGTTGTGAAAAGTGGAGATGATACTCGATAACTCCAATACCAATTTGTTGAAGACGATACGGGATTATAGGAATAATATGAAGTAAAGAGCACAAACTCACAAGAAGAATATAATTTGCAGAGTAAACGAGAGTTCACTAAAATATAGAGAAAGAATTACAATGATTTTACAATTTGTCTAACTAATAATGGGGATAAACAAACCTCCAATAAGGTTAAACCAATCTATAATGAGGTTAACAACCCATAATGGGGTAAAACCAACTCAACTAAATTGTATAGAAGAGTCAAATATATATAGGGAACAATCAAATCCCTAGAAGTAGAGTTGTAGATGAATATGATGTCCAAAAGTTTCCTTATCTTGACCTCTTCATGTCCAACATAAATTCCAACTTCCAGTAGAACTTCCAAATAGAACTTTAATTAAAATTTGCCAAATAGACTTCGAATAAGATTCCAAAAGTATTTCAAATAGAATTTTTCTTAATGTGCACTTTAATTAGAATTCCTAATTATCTTCAACAAAGAATTCAGGTCACACTCAAGTTTTAACAACTTGTTTTGCAGTAGTACTCAATACAAATATTTCAATGGATCATATTGTTTATCCAATGTCTATGCTAACTTACGTGCTTTAAGTTAATAATTTTATTGAGACGACCCACTTAATGTGTGATCATGCACTTGTTATGCAGTAGTACTTGGTACAAATGTTTCAATGAATCATATTGTTCATCCAATTTCTATTAAAACTGGTGTGCCAACTAAGTGCAATCATGGTGTAAGTTCGATAGTTTCGAGTTTCTCTTGAAAGGGTGAGTTGATAGAATTTCAATCAAACTCATTTGAGTCTCGCTTAGGCTGCTTTAATGGTAGTCTTTACTTCTATCAATCAACCTTTCAAGTTTCAACATTCCCTATTCTTCTGCTCCAATGCACAAACCAAAAATCTTGTATCAACATCCGAGGATTTCAGCCTATTAAAACTTAGCTCCTGTTTGGGCTCCATTAAAAATAAGTTTTGGGAAAAAATATATTTTGGAATAGTTATTTTTAGGAGAATGTGTGGTTAAAAAATAAGGAAAATTTTTGGATTTACGTGTAATATTATTTTATTGGAAAATGTGTGGTTGAAAATAAGAAAGAGAAAAAGATATTTCCAAAAAATGCCCACACAGGGGCTTATTTTCCTTGTACTTGTGTTTCTGGTCCTTGTGACTCTGCAGTGTCCATTGAATTTGTCATAATCGTGTATCCTATAATATTCTACAACATGAAGAACCATTTTTTTTGCATTTTGATGTTTTGTAGCAATTGTAACTTGTTGAAAACAAGATCTTGCTTTACTCCCTTTGAGAATTGCTTTTGTTGCGTTACTTATCCCATGAATTTATTGTTCTAATTAGTAATTTGGCATATACAGGCTAGTCTATTTGTGAACTTCAGCAAAGAGCTTGATTCTTTCCAGTCAACATATAAGGATATTGCCAAGCAATCCAAAGAGAAGGGTATAGTCTTCCTGTTGGGTGACCTTGAAGCCAGTGACGGTGTCTTCCAGGTTGTCACTTTCTCCTCACTCATTTTCATTTTTTTTTATGAGAGAAATTGTATTTGAACTAAATGTAGTCTGGCTTGCAGTACTATGGACTTGAACAGGACCAGGCGCCTCTTCTTCTTATTAAGAAACCCGATGGACAGAAGTACCTCAAGGCAAACATAGAACCTGCTCAGATTGCACCATGGCTCAATGATTACTTGGTATACTTATTCTTTACTTATGGAAAGTTGTTTATGATGATTAGACACTTTTTCTGAATTGTAACCTTTAACCTCGTGTACATTGGCAGTCTCTGCAGGTATTTGCTTTTCACTGTTAACTTCTGTGTTTAGGATTTTGTTAGTGTTGATCATTTGGTTTTTCCTTCGCAGAATGGCCTAGTGAAGCCATTCATAAGGTCAGAGCCTGTTCCCGAAGTAAACGATGAACCTGTCAAGGTGGTGGTTACCGACAGCCTTCAAGACATGGTTTTTAACTCTGGAAAGATTGGTTTGTGCTACTTTATATTTTCTTTTCTGGAATCCAGATTTATTTTACAAACTTGCTATATGTACAACATTTTTTTACAGCATACCTTACAGCCCTCTCACATGGAGGGTGGAGCCCGCGATCACGGGACCCACATTATGTGAGAGAGCTGTGCGTTGTACAACATTTAAAAGCTTTATTGTTTATTTTATGTCGCCCATGATATGTATATTCTTCAACAATCCAGCTTTGATACACAAAATTTTCTAGCATAAAATTCATCTAGTCCTTAATAATTATGATGCAGCCCAAATCTTAAAGCTACGGACTTGTGATTTAGATTTTTTTCCCCTTGTTCTCTTTGTATATTTGTCAATAGAATTCCATGGAAGTTCATATTTAGTTTGAAGCTCGTAATTAATAGTCTAATAGCCAATTGCATGCAAATTTTATTTTCATCAAATACGTAGTAACTCTTGTAACTAGATGAAATAACAGGGCTAAAATTCCAATACCACTTCTCTCTTATGAATCCGAACAATGCTTTTCTGCAACAACTCAAGATTTATCTTTTAGTGTTCTTACAGTGACTGACATCTATACTTTTTGATATCTAATTTTGGAATTTTTTTTTTTATCTTATAGTTCTGCTAGAGTTCTATGCACCATGGTGTGGACACTGCACGAAGTTGGCTCCAGTTTTGGATGAAGTTGCTGTTTTCTTTGCAAATGATCCTGATATCATGATTGCGAAAATCGTAAAGTTCACCTCAGTCTCTTGATTTTTATCGGCTCATTTTCTTTTTTTCTTACAACGACTTCTCCCTAATCGTTATCTTATTGAGGAAAAGATAGTTTTCCAATATTAATCTCTGGCATCTCTTCTCAGGATGCAACTGCAAACGATATCCCAAGTGGCACCTTCGAAGTTCAAGGATACCCTACTATGTACTTCAGATCTGCAAATGGTGACTTGAAGCAGTGTGAAGGGAAGCGAACAAAGGAGGACATTATTGACTTTATTCAGAAAAATCGGGATAAGTCTGTTCAAGCTGACTCAGACGAACCTGAGTCGGAGCAAGCTGACTCAGACGAACCTGAGTCTTTCAAATCTGGAACTGTATATTTAAATTCAGCTAAGGATGAACTATGAAGAGGTAACCTTTTGAGAAAAAGAAACCTGTTTATTTATTTCTAAGCTTCTTTTGCAACATGCTTCGTTTTCTCTATGCCAGGCTTTGCCTCCAATGAGGGCTTCGAGGAGCTTTCCACAGTAGCTGATTATAGTTTTGTTAGCAGGTTCCTTGTTACCTTTGTTTTTCTTATATTTTCTTTTCCTTTTTTGTTGAATAAGACGGGGGACTCGCACAGACCTTGTAGCATTAGAATTCTGGTTTTGTGTAGTTAGCCATGACAACCGGATACATACCGTGTAATAGACTTTTAAGTTATATATCAGCAATTTTCATATCCCTTTCAATTTTGCTGTCTTCATTTCTGAAGGCAAAAATTTGAACATCACCAAGTTTATTATATTTGATAACACGACTCTTGATAATATGTATATTTGTGGAATGGAACATAAAACGCACCTTTTGATAACACGACTCTTGATAATATGTATATTTGTGGAATGGAACATAAAACGCACCTAAAAAGCTTACGCTTTGAACAAGTAAACAAACAGTAGAAAAGCTACAAATTAAGTGTTTACTGGCTGTGGCCATCACCGTTTGCCAAGTCCGGCGAGTTGGTGGTATGGTTCTGGTTATCAAGCTTTTTACCCCATTCATGAATCCTCAAGTGCAGCTCCGCTGCGGCAATGAAGAAATGGACAGACTGGGCTGGAGTTAGAACTTCAACGACTTGTTTGAGAGTTTTCAGCCTTAAATCATCAGCCGTTTGCATAACTTCCACCAAACGGTCCTCCTTCGAAGTCAGAGTTGCCTCGACTTGGCTGTCCTCCACCGCACTGGCACGCTCCTCCCTCAATAACTCAGTCACTACATGGGACAGCTCCACCATGGACGGGTCAGCCACAGTCTCCTGTAACTTGGCATGTTTCTCAGTAATCTCCCTCTCCTCTCTTATAGTATCCTTCTGCAATTCATTCACCTGGTGTAGCTGATTTGGATAGAGGTCTCCCAAGTCACCCGTGCTGAGTCCTCTAATCAACTCAGCGAGTCTGGCCTCGAGTTGTAACCCTGACTTCGAATACAACAAGTGATAAGTAATGCTCGGCCTCCATCCTCCAATCCATAGAAAAGCATCCTCAAGACTGCTCTTCCACGACGGACTAAACATGGACATTATATGATTTTTAGCCCACCTGGATTTAGCCCTGTAATAATGCTCGTAATCAGAGACCAGAAAATTCTCTCATCTACCTCTTCCTGGACTGTCCTTGAAGCGGACACCAGTTCTTGCGGGTACTGGTTTTGCTCGAGAAGCCAGCTCTCAAAGAACCTGTGGAAGCTTTCAAACTCGTGGTGGGTTTCATTTCCTAAGGGTTCTGCCATGGTGGGGTGGCGGATTGGGGCTGACAGTATCTGTGGTTATATGTAGTGGTATTCTCTTGTAATAATAGCTATGCGAAACCGCGACACCAGAACCGAAGCTGATTACAAAACCAGCTTTTGTTGAGTTGAAATCTGTTGTTATTGACCCATTATCTTAAACTAACGTGTTTAATTTTTCTCTTACTGCCATTTGTACTTAAAAATAAGTGTAAAATAATGTGTAAATGAATTATCGATGTAGAAGTTGAACATCTAGTTTTGGATAGCGCTTTTGTTTGTTGGTACATGTTCTCAAGTTTTCAGATTTTTGTACACGTCGCAATGCAAACATGATTTGTTGAGAGAAATGTCCAGTTATCATACCGCGTGATTTGAGGTTTGAATATATGCCAGATCTAGCAGCAGCCACCCACCTGAACGGAGGTGGGTTTGGTATGGCGTCTGATGAGTTGGCGACTTGGCGTTAGGCTGGACCAGGTTTTTGACACATGCAGCCAATTGTTTGGGTAGGTCTCGAAACTTGAAAAAACCCCTTATGTACACTAGCAACTGTATCTGAATTTTGCACTTTGTGTAACATATAATGTAATTGCTTGGGAACAGTAGCTGAGAAAAAATATGGGAAATGATATATACATAAACTTATGTTTATCTCTTCTCTTCTCTTTTTTTAATTTTCTTTCTTTACATTGAATACATATCATCAACTAGCTTATGGCCAAATTTGCTCTCTCTTTTTGTTGACTTCGAAATGTGGGAGAACGCGATTAATAGATTTCAACTTCACTTCTGTCAACTGGTTAACTTACTTTCACACTTTGACAAAACATTGATGCATGTGACCTCTCCTTCAATGGTTGGGGAGGCTGTGGCTAATACTTTGAAGCTCAAGTCAGTCTATGATAAAAATATTATTGGTGTGGCAGGGACAATAAATGAGAGCAAATATATATATGGAACCGGATTGAAGAGAAAATAACAAGCAATATACTATTAAAGCGTAAAATTATATTACCTACGAGCTTTTATAGTGGAAGAAAAATGACCATTGGATGCGTGACATGTGATCTCATCTTAATGGCTTGCGGTCAAACTTTGTAAGTTTACATCTATTTGTCCCAAGTCTAAGCAACCTTAAATGAATTGAAAAGTAGCCACCATATGTCCTAACAGTGCCACCTGAAAAGAATACTGAAAAGTTGACTGGAAGCGTCTGCTGTAGAGCTGTCAATCCTTCGACGTACAAAAGATCTTCGGGTCAACGCGATATCATAGAAGTAAAGGTTTATTGTTTCAAAATTATACTACAGCCAATTGTTGGTCCTCACTTCAGACATGAAGATTCGACCTTTGTCATGTCACTTCGATTGAGGTTCCCAAATCACTTGCCTAAATGCCTTGGCTAGGATTTGGTCGACAAAGTAACGTGGATTGCAGGCCTAAAGTGACTTCTTACTATATTATTAATAGGCTACCATGTGGCCTGTCTCGTGGAACTAGACATCTCAATAGTTCCCCAATTCTAGGCATGAACATTCATATAAGGCGTGGACCTTTGGTAGAAGTGTGAAATAACGGATAATATATGTGGAGGGAGTGGTTAAGAATTGCCTCTAAAACTCAGGTTGATTGAGGTGGTGTAGTGAATGATATTACCTGTCCCAAATCTCATAGACATGGTTGGAAAGATAATAAAGTTACGATCTATAGTTTTTTGTAAGTAACGAAGTGGCGAAGTACTTAGTGAGCCATGGATATTTATAGGGAGTTCAGAGTCTACGATATTTATGACCTTTTGGTTATCCTATGCGACATCTACGCAGTTAGGGTCGGTCCTGGGCTAAAGCCAATTAGGCAATGACCTAAGCCTCAAATAGGCCCAATTAAATTACTAATTTATNAGGCAATGACCTAAGCCTCAAATAGAACCAATTAAATTACTAATTTATTACTTAAAAAGTCATGTAACTATAATTAAGTTTGATCTTAGTCAAAATATCTTTTTTTCTTTATTTTAATATGTAGGATTAATTATGAACTACCAAATGAGTCCAATATTGTTACACTAATATGGTTTAATTCAAAAACTATATTGCACATTAAATATTTTATTTTAATGAGTTGTAACTTAAATTTAGTTTATCCAAATTAACTTTTTCTTGAATCCATAATGTTTCATTTATATCGAATTTCGAAACGAGTGCAATATTAATAGGGTAATTCCCGATCCTTCAATAAATACATATTTGTTCTAAATACAGTATTGACTCCGAAATACATATTTAGAATCTAGTTATATTTCTTATCTCAAAATAACCGTAACTCTTCACACTATCGTCTAAAAATATATATTTCTCACTGTTTTACAATTTAATCTCTAAATTTTGCACTTTTTGTAATTGAAAATCACCCTTCTTCTTACGAGTCATTTTTGCAATATTCTTAGGACTTCAGATTATGGTTCTTAAATCTTTCTCCCAATTTCTAAATTACACCTTACTCGAGTTTTCCCGATTAATAATTTTAGAGATTATTATTTACACTCTAATAGTATGTTTCCATGAATGGGATATTGTGCTAAAAATTATGTTACCCTAATCTCTCGAGTTGTTGAGATAATTTTTTTCTTTCTAATCTATCTTTTGGATTATACCAAGTCTTCATTTAAAATATAAAGTATATTATTTATTTATATATTTAAATAATTTTTCGCTTGTAAAAGTAAAGTGTCTCATATAATGAGTCGTCTAGGGCCTCTAACGTTTACGTTGGACTTTCTACTTAACTGTGATATGCTTTAGAGGTTGCTCAGGTACAAAGCGGGATAAGTGCGTAGTCGCTCATGTGACATCTGCGTGAGGAGTAAACGTAACAGATCCAATTCTTGAATTCTATGAAAACAAAATAAAGCATGTGGATCAAGTTGGTACGTCTAACGTCAAACGTATCAATTTTACACCCCATCATTGATTAGAGATTCGGATATGCATCTGCACAAAAGTAAGAATATTAGACGAAATTAAAAGAAAAATGTCTAGGACATCGAGTAATGCCCCAGTGCCCATTCTATTTTCAAATGAAGACGACGATAGATCTTCGTTTGAGGTGTGGTGGGATGAGACGGGATGGGATGAGGTGGTTATCATTCAGTTGCATCTTTAGTGTCATATACAAATGTTCAACGATTGTGCTACATTTATATCATGATTTACAGATTTATTTACCAACAAACGATGTAGCGAGATTTCGATTTGACGCAGTCGAAATCTCACTAACCAAGTGAAAAAAATCCCCCTATTCGTTTTTACCATTAACCCACATTACATAAAGCACAATCGTTTAAGTGGTGAAGAGATTTT